TCATCATTGAATTTCATTTTGTTAGATAGCACCCAGTGTTCAAGTCTGTCCAGATCCTCCTGTATCCTAAGCCTGTCTTCTGGAGTGTTGGCTATTCCTGCCAGCTTGGTGTCGTCTGCAAATTTGATGATTTCCCCATCTATCCCCTTGTCCAAATCGTTGATGAAGATGCTGAAGAGCACTGGGCCCAGAACAGAGCCTTGGGGCACCCCACTACACATTTCCCTCCATGTAGATGCAGTTCCATTGAGGACCACACACTGAGTACAGCCCGTCAGCCAGCTACGGATCCATCTGGTGGTGATGCTATCTAACCCACATTTTTCTATCTTATCAAGTAGTAGGTTGTGATCTACTTTATCAAATGTCTTACTGAAGTCCAAGTAAAATATATCCACAGCATTCCTCTGGTCCACTAATTTTGTCACTTGGTCAAAGAATGCAATAAGATTTGTCTGGCATGATCTGTTTTTGACAAACTCATGTTGGCTTTTAGTAATGACTTTGTTTATCTGGAAAAGATAATCAAACAATGAATCAGCAAACACCTAGGTGTTTGTTGATTCGTTGTTTGATTATCTTTTCCAGAATCTTCCCAGATATTGAGGTCAGGCTGATAGGTCTGTAATTTCCTGGGTCCATTTTTTTTCCTTTTTTGAAGATGGGAACTACATCAGCTCTTTTCCAGTCCTCTGGTAGTTCCCCAGTGCTCCAGGATCTTTGAAAAATATAGTTCAATGGTTTTGAGATCACATCTGCCAGTTCCTTGAGAACCCTGGGGTGTAATCCATCTGGTCCTGGTGATTTGAACTCGTCTAGGCTGGACTTACCATTTTCTTGCCTACATTATCTTATATTTCTATTTTGTTTTTTATGGCACTATTTTTGGTAGGTTGGTCTGTTTTTTCCCTTTGTGTAAAGACAGATGCAAAAAATGAGTTAAATAGTTCTGCTTTCTCCCTGTTGCTTGTCACCTTCTTGCCACTTTCCCCCATTAATGGACCAATCATTTCCTTCACTTTTTTCTTGTTTTTTACATGTTGAAAGAAGCTTTTTTGTTATTTTTGACTTTGGTCACAAGCCATTTTGAGCCCTAGCTTTCCTCACTTCATCTTTGCAGGCTTGGGCTATTTGTTGATATTCTGACTTAGTTATGTGCCCCTCTTTCCACTTTCTATATTTGTCCTTTTTATCTTTCAATTTATCAGAGAGTTCTTTATGCAGCCATGCTGGTTTCTTTTGAGAGCTGTTATTTTTCCTCTTTGTTGGTATTGTGCACCTACAACATGCACCTACAACAGCCATAAACACTGACACTAAGAAGAGAGTATTTAATAATTGAAAAAGATAAAGAAAATACTTATAATAATACTATCTCCCTGAATTTTTAGCAACCTACTTGCTCAAGAATTCCAAAGCAGGAGCTGTTCATGCCCTTCTACCCAATTTAGTCTGCAAATAACAGTGCAGGTGAGACTACATCAGAAATTTTATAGTCAACAAGTGCCAAATGTATTATTATGTAAATTGCAATGAGAAATTTTGCAGAAAATAACACATACAACGTCCTGAAGTATGTTTTTTCCCCTGTAGCCTAGGGATAGACCCTCCTGGCATCACTATTGATATATTTCCAGCATCAGGCAGACCCTCTTCCCCTTTCCTTCTATTAATATTTCTATTATTATTGTTATTGTTATTGATCATTGCACAGTCAGCCAGATATTCAAACTGAATTTAGCATTTTTGTCTACCTATCAAGTCTTTACCAAGGACTTGGGATAGACAGATCTTGATGTTTGATCATGTTACAGATATCGTCGCAGGATGGAATCTGTTCCCAGTAAAGCTTTTGCATTATTATTATTGTTGTTGTTGTTATTAATCATCGCACAGTCAGATGTTCAGACCAGATTTGGCATTTTTGTATTATTATTATTATTATTATTATTATTATTATTATTATTATTATTATTATTATTAGCAACATTGTTACCTAGCCATTCTAGTATGCTTTATAAGGGGTCCTTGGTGCTCTCTGAGCTTGCTTGTTTTCTTGCAGATGTTTCATTACCCAAACTACCCTAGCACTGATGATATTACCTAGTTTGGGTAATGAAACGTCTGCAAAAAAACAAGCAAGCTTAGAGAGCACCAAGAAACCCTCATGTCAACCCTGAGCTACAAATATTTTCCTTTATTAGTATGCTTTATACAAGTTTCTTTTTCCAATACTTCTAGCTTATTCACCCCTGAAGCAACAGACCTTTCCTCAAGGTGACTGGAAACTATGGGAGCCATGATAAACATTTAGACAATGAATGCATTCTGGAAAAAGATGATTTACAACTTTGATGGATTTTAGTGGGTTTTGGCATTTTCCTATTTTTGATTTTTTAGCATTGCATTGCATTTCAAAATAGCTACTCATAAGAAAATTATCATTGGAAAGTAGTTGATAAAATGGCAAAACAAGCACTATCGACTCATATAATTCACAAAGCATAAATACAAGTACTCCTCGACGTACGACCACAATTGAGCCTAAAATTTCTGTTGCTGTTAACAGAAAGCTTTAAGTGAATTTTGCCCCATTTTACAATCATTCTTGCCACAGTTATTAAGTGATTCACTGCAATTGTTAAGTTAGTAACTTGGTTGTTATGTAAATATGGCTTCCCCATTGACGTTGCTTGTCAGAAGGTTGCAAAAGGGGATCACGTGACCCCTGAACATGGCAAACGTCATAAATATGATCCAGTTGCAAGCATCCAAATTCTGATCACGTGACCATGGGGATGCTGCAATGATCGTAAGTGTGAAAAACGGTCATAAGTCACTTTTTTCAATGATGTTGTAACTTCGAACAGTCACTAAATGAACTGTTGTAAGTCGAGGAATACCTGTAAGGCAGGAAGTCTGCCCTAGTGGTCATCATTTCATATCAACATGGAGACTGCTGACCTCTTACCCACCGGTAATCTGGAAAGGGGATTGGGCAAGCCTTTGCTGCACCCCTCTTAGCACCTCCTCTATCTCCTTCTGAATATTACACACCACTTCTTCCATTAAGCCCACATCCGCAATGCCTTTCCAGAACATCAGCATGTCCTCTGCCATGGAAAGATAAACATTTTTAAAGAAAGAACTGGCAATTATACAGCAAAATGTCTACTACTGGGATCAGCAAACTACTATACACTATCAAGCACCTTAAGGAACTTGTCAATCCAAACTACACACTCTTACCTGGAAGTATCACTGAATTAAAAAACGCCAACTCAGGACATACGTAAACCAGTGTTTTTCAACCTTGGCTAATTGAAGATGTGTGTACTTCAACCCCCAGAATTCCCCAGCCAGAGTTCTGAGAGTTGAAGTCAATACATCTTCATGTAGTCATTGTTGAGAACACTGATGTAGACTGTTCATTGGCCACTTACAAATTATGCTTGTAGCCCATGTATGTTCACAAACAATTGCAACAGGCTGAAAATAGTTTTCAGGGCATGTTAAATAAAACACTAGAAGCCTTTGGTCTTTTGGTACAAACTATCAAAGGATCGTTCATGGAAGGTGCATGCCACTGCTCATGAGTCAAGTTTAGGAGCAGCTTTTCCCAAATTGGAACCCTACAGAAAGATTGAGGATGCAATGCCAAGTAATCCCAACTATCACTGACAAACGTTTGCTTCTCTTGCTCTACTTCCTCTCCTTTCCAAAGTGTATAGAGGAAACAAAAAAAGTGCAAGCTGTACAGAGAAACAGGAAGGACCAACCTGAAATCTCCTCTGGATCTTTCTTGATTCCCTCATCGGTTGCCATAGTGACCGCTGCTGTCATAGCAGAATTCCATTCAATCCCTTCTTCTACACTTTCCTCAGATACTGCAATTTGTGTGATGCTTCCTGCACAAGAGAAGACCAGTCTGATACTCTGCTGCCACAGTAACTCCTTACCCACCCACACACCTAGATGATACATCAGGATAAGTTCTGCTAAGCCAACCATTCATCTGTAAATCTATGACTTGATATGACATGATGATAGGGTTCACACCCTATGTTAAGCTATATACCATAATTTCCAAATTACAATGGCTGGGACCTACAAAATACAGCTCAAAGCACACAAAGCACATTAGGTCTTAGCACTGTGTGTGAATTCAGTAATTCCACCCCAGCCTTGTCCATTTGACTCTATCTGGAGATGGCAGTTTCTCAGATTCTCAGCCAGTATGGTCTCAGTGCTGGCTGGACAGTTTGAGAGTTGCTCTCTGAAGATGCCACATCAGGCAGGTTATGCTTTGGGCTGATCAATGTATCATGAGGACTGGCACAATAAAGCCATTGCTTTTGAAATGTTATGTAAACTCTGTAAATGCTGCAACGAATGAAGAAATGTTTGGGTGTAACTACCACATTGTATATGTTACATTAGTGTCTTTCAGTTCGATGCTGGCTGGGGAATTCTGAGAGTTTCAAGTCCACACTTCTTAAAGTGGCCGAGGTTGAAAGTCCCACCTTTATACATATTTTTAATGTTCAAAGCCACATCTGAATTGTGTAAAATGTGTGAAATGCTTCGCCTTATACATTAAACTTGTTATGCTCTAATTAACTGATGTAGCTGAACTAAACAAAAAACCTCTATCACAAAAAGAAACAAAATGTGGAGTGGGAAGTAAGATAATATGTCCTCCAACATTGGGCATGATGCTCTTCTGTCTCAAAGCCCTTTGGATATAGCCCAGTGTGCACAAGATTAAACCACATGATAAATATTTCACACAATTCAGGCATGTTGTCAGCCCTTTAAGATAGACAAAGGCAAGAAACAGAAGTTCCTAGAAATGTTGGAAAGTACCTAAATGCAGTTAGGGTATTGTAACAGAATTTGAAAACCTGTCCAAGCTCCACTCTATTTCAACTTACACTTAATCTAATCAAGGAAGAATTCTAATATGTAAGAGGAGGGAGGGAGGGAGAGAGAAAGAGGGGGTGGATGAATGACAAGATAAGGGTGAGTCTTAATGACCAAGGAATATACTAATCAGGAATTTACTTTTTTACTTTTTTCCTACCATCAGCAGAAGTGGGAGTCTGTACCAGGCTTGGTTGCCCTGGTACTGGGGCCCTGGCACTGCTGAAGAGGAGGTCAAACTTGGTGCTTCGGCAGGTGTTGGTGCACACTTTGTCATGCTGATAGAAGTCAATTTGTCCAGAGTCCATCATCTTTCTGCACAGTGAACGGAAAACAAAACAGTCATCTCAGGGGGTGAAAATCTGTTCGAAGAACTGTCTAAGAGAAAAATGTAAAAAGATGAAGCCTTTGACTGTCATGCATCAAATAATGCTCAGTCCCCTTTAGCTTATGCATAACTGCAGTCATATAATTCAACAGAAGGGTATGGTTCTGTATTGTAAGAAATTTCTCTTTCCCTCCAAATTTATTTAGCAATATGGAAAGGAATAACAACTACAAATTACTGAATCCTCCATAGTGGCCCTCACTATTCATTGGATGCTGTTCCAGCCCAAAGACTATGGATAATAAAATCATGGATAATGAGAGCCTTACAAGAATACTTTATAATTGGGCAAAACACCTCCATCATTTTGTGCATATTATACACCCAGAAAAATTCTCCAAATTTCTCTCCCAAATAGAGCCATATGCATCATTAATGATGATCTCCAATTTGTATTACCAGCCTTAGGCACTTGAAACTGCAGTTAAAGAAACCATGAATAACACCATCCCCCTATAAAAAGTAGTCCTCGACTTATGACCAGTCGTTTATTAACCATCCAAAGTTCTGACAGACCCCAAGAAAGATACTTACAACCCAGATTTGAAATTCTAAAAGATGCGGTCATACAATTGTATTTTGGGTGCTCAGCAACTGGCCACATTTACTGCTATTTGCAATGTCCCGCAATCGCATGACTGCGAGTTGTAACATTTTTTGCCAGAAGCCGGCATTTACTTCGGGTTTCCGGCAAAAAACGCCCATTGTGTACAACCGGTCACTTCATGACTATGGTGTTCATTTAGCGATCATGGTGATTCACTTAATGACCATCACGAAAAATGTTGTAAAATCAAGTTGTTCACATGATGACCTACTGAACAAACAGTACGACTTACAACCTATTTCCGGGCTCAGTTATGATTGTAATACCTGTAGATCAAAGTCTTACTCCAGAAACCCCCACCTAACATTCTATATAAAATGGCCCTTGAAATCACTGGGAATCACTTTTCCTAGGAAAGTTCCATATTTTAAAGTACATAGGGTCAAACTCTCCGAACCATTTTTGTTTGGCAGGAAATGACTGGCACCACAGTTTTAAGGAGAGAGGAAGACTCCTGCCCAGGCGTCTGCACCAGAGTTTGGTACAGATAGTCCTTGACTTACAACCATTCATTTAATGACTGTTCAAAGTTACAACAGCACTGGAAAAAGTGACTTACGGCCGTTTTCACACTTATAACATTGCAGCATCCCCATGGTCACATGATCAAAATTCTGACACTTGCCAACTGGTTCATATTTGTGATGGTTGCAGTGTCCCGGGGTCATGTGATCACCTTTTGTGACCTGACAACAAAGTCAATGGGGACGCTAGATTCACTTAGCAACTGTGTTACTAGCTTAATTCACTTAACAATTGTGGCAAGAAAGGTCGTAAAATGAGGCAAAACTCACTTAACTGTCTCGCTTAGCAACAGAAATTTTGGGCTTAATTGTGGTCATAGGTTGAGGGCTACCTGTACATGACAAGACGGTTACCTCAACATGATTCCTCCTAGGCGGATGGCTCGCTTCCAGTCCTTCAGGGTGGACTTGCCAGCCAGGTGAACAAAGTGCTTGGGACTGATAAGCTGGTCATTGAACTATCAAAAGAGGAAGGAACCATTTATTTTCTCATGGTAAGGATATAATCCAACCATTCAGTCTTCAAGGCAACACCCATTATTCATGGATACATGTGATCAAGACACACTAGGACTTTGTTAATACAACCTGGGCTTTGTGATTTCAGGCTAACACTGGGCAATTTGTAGAACTATTTGAGGATAACAGTGAGTGGATAAATGGGAAAAATTTGGCCATCCAATTATATATTGTAGAATGGGATTCTCAAACATATATTATGGCAGATATAACTCAATGTTCTTCCTACAGTGGTGTCCAAGTCGTTGTGGCAGGGGGAGGTGTCTCCTCCTTGGGAGAATGAAATAAAGGCATTACCTTCAATACTGCCACCTAAATAGTTAGTTTATTGTTAAGAGTTTTATGTGTACCAAATACTCCTGTGCATATCCAGTGGAAAGTGGGACATTTTTCAAAGGAAAAGAATACTCCTGTCATAAACCCAGCAACACAGAACAAAAAGAAAGAAAGTAAGCTGGCAAATTCACTTTCACCATGCTATTTACCTTAACACATTTGACATTGATTCCTGGACACACGAACTTTTTCCAGAGCAACATGGCCTTGCTATCTCCACAGGTAATGGGGTAGGCAATCTCAATTTCCTCATTGCTTTCAAGGGCACTGGCATCTGCAGATGGAAATGGAGATGTTTGAGAGACATATAGAGATCTCCATGCTGATTCATCTAACTCAGGTGTGTTCAGCCTTGGCATCTTTAAGACTTGTGGACTTCAACTCCCAGAATTCCCCAGCCCACCCAATTCTGGGTTGAAGTCCACAGGTCTTAAAAGTTGCCAAAGTTGGACACCTCTGATCTAACCCAAAGACTGGAAAGGACTCAAACAATTTTCTCATCCTGTATCTTTTAACCTGGAGATCCTAAGTCTGAACTAGGGATATTCTTGCATGAAAATCACATAGTAAGCCATTATTTCTTTCTTTAAAAATACTCCCGTTTTATGACCCTTTGATCCCTTAATTCGGGGTAGAATCAAGGCAACTGGATGGAGCTGAGCATTTACTAGCCGGATACCCTTCCTGACACCACGTAGAACAGTGGTTCTCAACCTGTGGGTCGGGACCCCATTTGGGGTCGATCGACCATTTCACGGGGGTCACCAAGCAAGGCTGTCCACCATTTTTTTTTGTCCGCCATTTTTTTCCCCCTTTTCCGGCGGGTGCCTTACCTCCCTTGGGCTGGGCCAGCTGGTGGTCGGCCTGCTCTGTCTCTGCCGCTTGCCAGCTACACCTCGGCCGGCGCAAGGGGCGGAACCACACATGCGCGGCACTCCCGGGCAGGGAAAGTCCTCGACTTACGACCGGTTGGGTAGTCCTCGACTTACGACCGGTTTAGTCCTCGACTTATGACCGGTTTAGTCCTCGACTTATGACCGGTTTAGTCCTCGACTTACGACCGGTTGGGGTCACGGCATTAAAAAGGTTGAGAACCACTGACATAGAATGTGCAGCAGGTATTTTTTTCTTTGCGCCTTAGGAAAGAAATATCTGCCGCTACCTAGGATTGAACTCTCAACCTGAGTGAGAGGCAAGCATCTTCACCATTAGGCCACCACACCACTCAACTTCTTTCTTAGACACACTGATAAAATTATGTAATTTTTTTCATCTTTACAACCTACGATGGAACCATAAATATCGTACTGTATATATATTTAGACAAGCATCAGAGTATAGTTTCATAATAGCCAGAAGAGTTCCAAGTATAAAAGGAATATGATTCATTGTTGTCCTTGTTGCTATTAACAAGGCAGGGTTTCTTATGGACTGAGTTCAATCTTACTGTTCTAATACATGGTCTGATTTGTTGAACTCAGCTATAAATCATGATATACAAATCACAACCCAGCCAGGAATCATGGTACATAAATCTCAGTGGCTAGACTCACACTGTACACCAAGCCAAAATTAAACTACAATGTAAGTGCAAAGTACCTAGAAAATCATGTTTGAATTGCGTGTTTTGGAAAATGTAGTTCTTTGGGATACTAGCCCCACAATCTCACACTCTTGAATATCCAATATGATATGCAAATTTCCAGCTATTCTGAAGTGATGAAGATAGGAAATGAAATTTGAACAGCAGTCTGATAAGAACTGCCTCGTGTCTGCAGTTGAGTTTCAGAAATGTGAACCTTTAGACAACACTTTCACAGGAAGAGATGGTGAAAGAAAGCTCCCACAGCCTCTTAGTTCAAGAATCTTTTTTCCAAGGATTCTGGCTTTTTTCAGTGCTACAGGCTTTATTCCATGAAGAAAGGTTAGTGTTTCCCTTAATTATATGAAGTGGGGGAAAAACCATCATCCATGCAAGTAACTATTGCAGAAACCGTTATGCTTTAGGATCAGCCCATTTCCACCTTTGCTGAGCAAAGTTTTGCTTTGGAGGAAAGACAGTGGACATAGTATTTCTTCTTCAATTTTGTCCTCTCAATATTAACCCAGGGATGTACAATGGACTGAGAGGCAGTGACTGCATTAAAGCCATTCAGTGCATCCAAGTTCATCATGTCTTCCTGGTCCTGCTTCAGCACATGAACCACTGCACACACAGCCTGCAGGCTTTACCCAAAGCACCACTATTACACTGCAATACAATTGAGCTAACATGAAACTGGTGCATCATTATCACTGAGAACTCACCGATGCCATCTTCAAGTTTGTGTATGGTATGCGTTTCTACAGCCATCACAGCCGCATTAGTTTCAGAGGTCTCTTGATAAATCCTGCTGTAAGTGTGGCAATAAGTACACAAATGATACAATTATTTGAAAACGGGTGACATGAAAGAACATCTCCCCTCCACATCAACCTGTGTGCCCCTAGCATCAGAAGAGATCATATTTATGGAATTTTCCATAAATTGTTCCATATTAATGGGAATTTGGCACTTTTCAACAGCAACCCAAAATTTTAATTTTAATAGTTCAGCATTTGGTTATTCTACTGCCATCAGTTTATACGGCAATAACCTGCTGTTAGACCTATCAATGTTAGTTTGATATATCTAACTTATTAATATTATGTAAGTTTCCCTCCATAATATTTTATTTTGGATTATATAAACATTTGTATAAAAAGTAATATCCATAGCAGTATTTTTTTCACCAATTTCATAAGGGCTACTGTACTTTTTATCTCAAAGGAAAGTTAATGTCATGATAATCAAGTTCTGTTGCTGTAGCTGAAAGGACTCAAGTCTACATACAAGAAAGGAAATTGTTATTAAACAGTAGAACTTGTTTTGATACAACTTGCTTGGGGGGCTGACCTCTTCTTTATTAGGAATGCTATACCAGTAGCAGGTTGATCAAATTGTCCTTAACTTTATGATTCTGTCCTCTATCCAACCATAAAATGAACGATGGAGTTCCTTCATATTTTTAGCATATCTAAAATTTCCCAGTACCTCAAACTCTTGTTAAAATTCCATCTTCTGCACAATTGGTAAATCATACGAGTTTCATCTTCTTTCATTCCTGCATTCTCAATTCTCCTTGCAACAGTCCTCTAAACCCTCAATTTGGGCAAAATTACTTGGGAATATTTTGTATTGCTCTTGGCATGTCACTCACCCTTGTTGCACTGGCTGTAGTTGTAATATAACTTGGGTTTTAGTATCTTCAGGGTTTCCCCCCTCTGTTCCTTCAGTTGGCACAACAACCACATCTCCTACAGGAATGCTTACTTCAGCATTTGCCATTTGTTCACATGAAGTCTGAGCGACTGGGTGACAAGTATGCTGTAGCGGATAATAAACAACCGAGGCAACCTTGATTTGGGAGTTGAGGAGAACTGTGATCTCTAATTGCACACAATTATCATATTCTATAATAGTAGGTCAAAAGGGACCACATACCTGATAGAAACATCCTCAACACCTCTGGGGCTTTTCTTAATAGTCTTAACCTCTCCTCACAACCTACAATTGCTCTCAGAATAATTGACCAACCTATCTACCACTATTGCCTTGGGAACTCAAAAGTGACTTGGCCTTGTTAGCTTTTTTGCAAGGTTTAAGAGGTTATTGTGACAGCAATTAAAGATGCACAGGCATTCCCTTTTTTTCTCTATTCTGGGCTATACCTGCTACAGCAGAAGCATGAGCCATCAGAAAACAAAAGAGGGTATTTTTACACAACTATTATTTTATAATGAACTTGAATTCATTAGAAAGTGAAGGCTGCAGTCCCATATACAATTGGCTTAGACCAGTGATGGCGAACCTTTTAGAGACCGAGTGCCCAAACTGCAACCCAAAACCCACTAATGCATCATTGGGTGCCGGCTGGGTGTGGCCCATTGGGTGGGTGTGGCCCATTGGGTGGGCGTGGCTGCGGTGGTAACGGCAAACTGGTTGGGACTAAAAAGTTCAATCAATCAATTCCAACTTTGCAAGATCTTTTTTTTTCCCGCGAGAAGTTGAAATTGACTGATTGATTGAACTTTTTTTTTTTTTTGCACGTGATGGAGGAGGCCTAAAGCGAAAAGGTTTTATAAAACCCAGCTGAAGGCCTAGGACTGGGGCAACGGCACACGTGCCCACAGAGAGGGCTCTGAGTGCCGCCTCTGGCACCCGTGCCATAGGTTCGCCACCACTGGCTTAGACTGTACCTACTGTAGCACCTAGCTGATTTGCTTTTTTTTTTTAACCAAGCAATTAGGCTGAAGCACTGAACAGTATCACTCAACATGCAGAGAAAGCTGGAAAGTCTCTCTGCAATGATTGATGTGGTATCTATAGAGGGCTTGAAAAATATGTAATGGTGACTTGGATCTTGGTGGGAGGCATTTGCTGCTTTTAAGTGATTCAGGACTGTGGGAGTTGCTTTTGCTTTCTCTTTGTTCCTTTGCCAGCAGAACAATACCAGAACCAAACCCCCTCCAAAAGGACCCCCAAATGCCATTTTGACTATTGGTTGCTCCCAAATCAGGAGATTTGCTGGGGAAGCAAGGATTTATGGAATTTCCAGTAAGACTAGTTATACACATGATTCTTTGGAAATAAGAACTTTAACACAAAACCCCATTTCGTAAGTGAAAGTGTATGGTTTCCTTGTTTTCAGATTCAAAATCACAGACCATTGTTACTGCTGGATCAGATGATCAATCCAACAAATTCAACTTCACACTACCAACCAGCTCCTCCTGTTGGCTGTAGAAAACTCATTACCAGTAGACAAACGTAATGCCACTTCCTCCTCTCATTTTGCATCAGAGGATACCCAGAGAAATACTGTGGTAGTATTGAATCTGAAGGTTAGATATAACTCTAATGACTTTTCTAATAATCTTCCTAGAACTGTTCTAAACCCCTCTTAGTTGTCATTCTATTAAACAATAACAATGAATTTTAAAAATTATTCAGTATGTGAAAATGTATTTTATTGTGTCTCTTAAAGGCAAGATTGAAATGACTCAATTGGAGATTAATCTCTAACCCATGTTGGAAAATAGTTCTTTAAAGACATGTCTGAATTCAGGATAAATTGAATGAGAGACTGCTCATCAGTTCAATGGTTATCAGCTAGAGCTATTTTATAGAGCCAATGCTATGTATTTGCCTCAAATAAATTCCCCTGGATGTTAATGGCATTTACTTCTACAAAAGCAGAAACAGTATCATAGCTTTCCTAATTTCCTAATTCAGTACTGTTTATGCTTAGTCAAATCACAAGCATTTAGATTAATGGATGTAATGCCATAAATATTGGCAGGCTATAATAGAAGGCTCAGAATGCCCTAGCTGCTTATTGTTATGGGAAAACAAAAGTTGAAGCAAGCAAGAATACTATTTGCATCTTTATTTTTTTTTTGTAAATAAGGTTTAGCAGTTTTCTTCATATGAAACAGAGTTGTCCAATCAACAATGGTATCCTTCCAATAATGGTGCTAGGTCATCAATTTTGTCCTTATTTTAAAAAGCCAAAAAAACCCAATCCCTTAACACTGAATAGATAGTCAGGGGTGATAGAAGAGGGACATTTAAGGAGCATTTCAGCTGTGATTTTTTTTTAATTTGGAAAAGCATTGTTTTCTAGAAATGCAATCCCAAAGCCATCATTGTGCCACATTAGCATTGCCATAAAAAAGAGAGGGGCATGGAATGCAATTGCTTTTTATTGCAATTAATTTATTTTTATTGTACAGAAAACAAGGCAGCCTTGTCATAATTTGTCATTTATAAAGAATACCAATTCTTGGTACGCCACACTTTGATCTCGGCTATTCCAACAGGTTGTTTAAATTCATTTATCCTACATCCCACTCCAACCACCAGAGTCTGTTATCTAACATAGTGTAATGGATATTCTGTACCATAAACCAGATTTCACCGAGCCTGGCTCCTGCTCTAATAATGTATTAAATTGGAATGAAGCCCAGAGACACCAGGCTGTTAACATACAGTAATCCTAGTTTTGTTCAGTTTTAATTTCTGTTATGGATCCTACATAAAACCGGTGGCGGGCTTCTCTTTTGAGTTTTGACTCCGTTTAGACAGCTTGATTAACCCCGGACGATTTTGTCATTGAATGGGGACGGGCTTTTAGCTCGGCCAGGGGAGGAACCCCCTCAATCCGGCCGCCTCAAGAGGAAGTCGGGGCTTCGGACCGAGAGGCCTCTCTGCTCGGCAAACCGCGAATTGCAAGCCGTCGGCGGTTCTTCCCTCAGAACCGCGAGCATCAAAGGCGGCGAAACTCGCTCCACTCTCCCTTCCCCCCCCCCCCACCGCCCGGCGGTTCCAGGGTAGACCCGGCGGGGCAGAGCAAAGCAGCCCGCGCGTTTCTTTTTTTTTTGCGCCTGGCCCGACCTCACGCCCGAAAACTCCAACTGCCATCATCCCCAGCTCGCCCGGGCACTGGGGATGATGAGAGGAGGCGGTGGTAGCGCGAGGCTGAGGAGAAACAACCCCACGCGGGCCGCCCGGGAAGGGCTCTCCTCACTGGGCGCTCAGGGCGAGTTCGACCGCGCCAGCGCGGCTGAGGGGAAAGCCCGCCTCCCCCCGCGGGCCCCGCCCCCTCGCCTGCCCCGCGAGCCCCTCAGCCCTCCGTGGCCCCGCCCCTCTTCCCTTGCTTCAGGCCAGGCGCAGCCTCCTCCTCCTCCTCCTCCTTTCCCCACCCTCCACTATCCCCCCCCCGCAGCGGCGCTGCGACGTCCGCTCTCCCGGCGGCGGCACGTACGGCGGGGTAGCGGCCGTGCGCTCTCCCAACGCAACCCCCTCCCTCATCGCCACGCACTCTGCGTCCCGGCTCCCGTAGCGCAGCGGCAGCAAGAACGTCGCCCTGCGTTCCCTCCCCCCCGTTACCGTCTCCGAGCGGCCGAGTCCGGGGCTGGGGGGGGCGGGAGGAGGGAGGGAGCATGCGCAGGAGCTGCAGCGGCTCGGCTGCCAGGACTTCCGGCCGCCTCCTCTCTCTTAAAGGGACCGCGAGAGCCAAAGCACTTTTTGCGCTCCCGCGGCTGTGCGCTATGGGATGTCTTTGGGGGCGGGGAAAAGGGTTGCATTTGAAGCCTTTGGGCAGGCCGCTCTTTGCTGAGCGAGGATCGGATCTTCTCAGCCGTTCTGCCGACTGCCAGAGTTGCTGCTGCTGTAATGGCATCTGCATGTTTTGCAGCTATTGTATGTTGTTGTTGTTGTTAGTTGCGAAGTCGTGCCCGACCCATCGCGACCCCATGGACAACGTTCCTCCAGGCCTTCCTGTTCTCTACCATCTTCTGGAATCCATTTAAGCTCACGCCTCCTGCTCCAGTGACTCCGTCCAGCCACCGCGTTCTCTGTCATCCCTTTCTTCTATTGTATATAGTTAACTTATTCAAAATAGATAATGGAACTGTGAGGCAATATTCTCAGGAATGCTCTCATTAATTGCATGCACGGATCGTTAAGTTTCCAATTCAAAGTAGGGCCTTTTCATTCTAATCCAAATACAGGTAGTCCTCAACTTACAACAGTTCATTTAGTCACCGTTTGAAGTTACAGCGGCACTGGAAAAAGTGACTTACGATCGTTTTCACATTTAATGACTGTTGCAGCATCCCCATGGTCATGTAATTAAAATTCAGATGTTTGGTAACAGACTCGTATTTATGATGGTTGCTGTGTCCCAGGGTCATGTGATCTCCTTTTGTGGCCTTCTGACAAGCAAAATCAATGAGGAAGCCAGATTCACTTAGCAACCGTGTCACTAATTTAAAAAGTGCAGTGATTCACTTAACTACTGTGGCAAGAAAGGTCGTAAAATGGAGCAAAACTCACAGCAAATGACTCACTTAGTAACAGAAATTTTGGGCTCAATTATGTTTGTAAGTGAGGACTACCTTTTCCTGCTGCAAATATTTACTTTCTGGGAATTTCACACTTATCACTTCTAAACTACCAGAAATCCAGAGAGCTGCTAGAGTAACAGAGAATTTACCTCTTGACTGTCATCCACTGCTCTGGATATTTACATCCCAAAGACAGCAGCCCTAATCCCATCACTCTGCATTTCATGTGTTTGATGAAAATTCCTTGCCAGATCTGGAAGCAGACAGGAGCCCCTTGTGTGACTTTCAGCAAATGAATGTTATGCCCAGCTGATGGCGCCAGTGGCCTTCTGATTCTTTCTCAACCTCCTTAAGATGTGTGGACTTTAACTCTCAGAATTCCCTAGTTGGGCTTGGAAATTCTGGCAGTTGAAGTCCACACATCTTAAAGGATCTGAAGTTAACAAACATTGGAAAGGCTTAGGTTTGCTGTTATTAAGTCTCTCCAGTAACAAGATACTTCACGGTCTGCAATTTGCTTTTATACCCATGTTTTTATAGCTATAATCCCAAGAGGTATTGATCCAGTTCACAGGGGGCATAATATGGTTTTGACTTCACCCAAAACCATCCTTAGGTTTAAATAACCCAACTGGAGTTTATTTAGCAAATGGCAACTAAGTAAGTCAAAGTTTAGAATGATGCAGGAACCTAGCAGTAGAGAAATCAAAAGGCCCCAGATAATATCTAATCAATAAACTATCAATAATGTTTTGGCACAACCTGGTAGTTTCTCATCTCAATCTTGCAATGAAGGTGACCTCTCCACTGTCCCATTGGATCAAAGCAGAGCTGACGTTGGACAGATGCCAGAATGCAAACTCCCAATAAAATGATTTTCCCCATAAACCCCCAAATTAATTACCAACCTGGGGTCTTGGAAAAAAATAAAAAGGCTCAGGATTGTTTGGTATATTGTCAATCCCCCATAGCATAGTAAATTCATCAAGGGTACACCTAAAGCCAAATTTATGTAGCTCTAAACCATAGTTTAATACACTAGAATGACTGCTTTCATTTAAAATGCTAAATCTTTAAACCCTGGTTTCTGAACCCTAATAGCTCAGATATGTTTGTTCTTGGCTCAGTGCTGTGCCTCAAATCTGTTGTCATTTTTAAAAAATTATTAATTCATTTTCACTCAGTCTTGATGTCTGATTTTGTAATTGTAATGTATCAATATTAGAGGTACAGCAGAATGAATACATTTCCAAAGAAACCAACACTTTATTTATTAGAATTATATCCTGTCTTTTTGCACAGGAGCTCAAAGCAGATTTTGTAGTGTTCTCTCCTCTTGTTTGTCTCCACAACAACAACCAGGAGAGGTGGGTTGGACTAAAAGTCATCCATCCAGCTCTCATGCCTAAAGTGGGACTAGAACTCGGTGTCTCGTGGTTTCTAGACCAGCACCTTAACCCCTACACCAAACTGTCCAACTTCAGTTTAGTTTTCTGTTCTTCATCAACACTAAAGAGAGTGTTCACACAAACTGCCTTCCTTTGACTGATTCAGCCTAATAATTAAAGGGCTGATAATAATAATCAGCCAAAGATGTTGATGGTAGTGACTGAATACACTACTACATGCAGAGGTTTACCTGGAGAAGTTGGTTGAATTCCAAGTGGAGAACAAAATAAATGGAGTGAATGTTAGTTTGAAAAACTCAGATTGGTTTATGTAATAGAAACATGAAATGTTTAGAAAAGTAAAACAAAAGCACTATAATCTATTACCTACCATAAAACCAAGAGTAGTTAAAACAAGTCAACTGCCTTGAATACACAACAAAGAATACAAACTATAAAAAAACCCGATGCCTCTGATGAAATTAGTTGCCAAGATTGAACGCCTCTGCTTTAAACCATCTTTGCTATATTGTGAGCAAAACCAGCTAGCTGCCTTTTTTTTTTCCAGGGCTTGACACCCAACCTACGGTCAAGAAACCATTTTTTATTATTATTTTATAGAATAGAGCTGGAAGGGACCTTGGAGGTCTTCTAGTCTAGGCCACCCCCCTTAAGCAGGAGAACCTACACCATTTCAGACAAGTGATTGTCTAGTCTTTTCTTAAAGATCTCAGTGATGGGGCACCTATGATTTCTAGGGGTGATTTATAAGGTGTGTTAAGAGAGGGCAAAAGGATCCTACAATACCTTATTTATCCCGATCTCTCTGTGCTTCCACCTGGAACTAGGATTTCGATGACTCCCGATCCACCCCTTTCCCCCTTTCTAACATCGTTTCGTCGTGGTTCCCCCCCCCCCAATAGGGGCTCATTGCCTCGGTTTTTGGACAGCTGGCGGGCTGGGCGTCGTCCGCTCTTCCTCGACGGGGCAGCGAGACCCGTCTTGGAAAGGTTAGTGGCTCGGGCGGGGCCAATGACCGACGGGAGGCTTGGCCCCTTCAGCCAATCGCGCGAGGCGGGGGTCGAAGCGCGCGCGCTCCGGCCGCCGCCAGCTGCAGACGGGCGCTGTTCGGCCGGTGGAGGCGATCGAGCGGGCGGATCCTGCCGAAGCGCCGATCGACGATGCGCCGGGGGTTCCGCGGTGCGCTCCGGCTGCTCCAGCTGCTGTGGTGGCCCCTGGACCTCTCGACGGCCAGCAGTCAGACGGGTAAGTCGCGGCCGCAGCAGCGCGAATCGGCTGGCTGGGCAAGCGGAGTGGCTGGGAGCGAGAGTGGACGCTGAACGAGGAAAGGAGGCTGGCGAAAAGGAGCGCGACAGCTTGGAGGAAAAACGCTTTGCGCAACCTTCTCTCCCGGCTTTGCTTTTCAGAGGCGCTGCACGACAAGCACGAGGCCCAGCGCCTCTGGAAAGCATCAAGATAAGGAAGACAATGCTTAAGAAGAATGGGGGATTTAATAGAGGTAGTCCTCGAATTACGACCACAACTGAGCCAAAATTTCTGTGGCTAAGTGAGACATTTGTTAAGTGAGTTTTGTCCCACTTAACAACCATGTTACTCACAACTGCAGGGATTCACTTAACAAGGGTGGCAAGAAAGAATCGTAAAATGGGGCAAAACTCACCTGACCCCCCCACACACACTGCAACCGTCATAAATATGAGTCAATTGACAAGCGTCTGAATTTTGATCACATGACTGTGGGGATGTGCAACGGTTGTAAGTGTGAAAAATGGTCATGTCACTTTTTTCAGTGCCATTGCAAGTTTGAACTGTCACTAAATGGACTGTTGCAAGTCAGGGATTACTTGTAGAAGTGTCTTCCAAATCAGCAGAGCTCTCTTCAGAGAAAAACAAGGGTCCTTTCTACACTTAGATCTAGCTTGCATGTTTATAAAGAAGCAGCTTCACTATTGCCTATTGAATCAATGTCTGGGTTTGTGCCATACTCGCAAGCCATTGTCTGCAAACCACAGTGGCTCTGGCAACATGCCAAGTCACAAACCAGTCACTTTTGGACAGCACAGCTGAAGGAGCTGAGTTGTTAAATTAGTGGTTGAGGCTGGAAGAAAGCTAATATTTTAGGATAAGAGCAATCACTGAAAGTAGATCGATCGTAAGTCTTTTTTTCAAAGCTGAATTGACTCAAGAAAAGTTTCTCTTCCCCAGCAGTCACAATTGTCTCTTCTTGGCTGTGGCAAATAATTATTTGCTGTTTTGCTTCTGATTAATTATAAAATGGCCACAGTCAGCTAAGATTTCTTTAATTAAAAGAGTTGCAACCCTGGGAGAAATGCAGCTGATTGTTTTGCAGAAGGTCACTGTTCCATGGCAGCACATTTGCCTGTGGTAACAAAATCTAAATAGGATCCTGATGTGAAATTATTTATCATCCAAAGAGTTGTGTGAATAACAGCTCAAATAACTATGGAAATAATTTTCCAGGTTTATAGGTAGTCCTTGACTTACAACCACAACTGACAACAGAATTTCCATTACTAAACGAGGCTGTTTTTAAGTCATACCCGATTTTACAACCGTTTTTGCCAAAGTTAAGCAAAGCACTGCAGTTGGCAGATGAATCATGCAGTCATTAAATGAATCCGGCTTCCCGCACTGACTTTGCTGATTGGAAGCTGGCTGGGAAGGTTGCAAATGGGGATCACAAGACCCCAGGATGCAACCATCGTAAATACATTCCAGTTGTCAAGCACCCAAAGTTCAATCACATGACCACGAGGATGCTGCAACAGTCACAAAAACATAGAATCGTAGGGCTGGAAGGGACCTCGGAGGTCTTCTAGTCCAACTCCCTGCTCAAGGCAGGAGGCCTCATACCATCTGGGTCAAGTGATTGTCCAGTCTATTTTTGAAAACCTCCAGTGGTGGAACACCCACAACTCTAGGAGACAAGTTGCTCCACTGATTAATTGTTCTTAATTCCGTGGAGGGGTTTTTTTTTCCACAGACCAGACGGAGCGTGGTTTCATGTGCTGCCTGCATTCCATGGATGGGGCTTTGCTTGTTTGCACGGACCGGTTTCTGGCATGCCATGGCCCAGTACCGGTCCATGGACTGGGGTAGGGCCCCTGCTTTAAAGGCTTTTTCAGCCTACCCCAATCTGATACAGTCTGACTTTTGGGGACTACGTGACCAAATATGCTACCATGCTCCTAGAATTCTGGGAGTTGACGTCCACACATTTTAAAGTTGCCAAGCTTGAAAAAGACTTGACCTAAACATAAGTTTATAGATACTATCAATCTAAATAAATTCCTTCCTGGAGAGAATGTTTATTTCTCATCTTTCTTGTAGATCCAATCAGGAAGATTTTGCACCCCTTCTGGGAACTGCAGCAAATAAATGACCGATCACCTCATGATTACATTCATGTGTAGAAATAACAAGAGTGGTGGCCTGAAAGGAACTGTATTCATAAAAAAACCTTTGAGGTTTTTAACTCAAGAGAGAGAAGTATTTTCTCCATTATTGCAACATCTGTCCTGTTTTGTCTTTCCCACATCCTGTTGAAAAATATATTGGCTAGGTTATGTTGGTTAATGTGGCACTATCTCCCTGTTGAATGAACCAGATAGAATAAGAATAGAACAGAACAATTTGGCTAAGTGTGATTTGTCTCCAGTTCAGAAGCTCTCTTTACATGCAAACCAATAGAATGTTATTATTCTTATTGGTATCATAATATGATTATTATTACTCTCTAGTGACCTTAATGATGTCACATCACTGGCCATACACTAATCCACCAAACCTTTTTCTGCCTCTGGTTATTAAACTGTGTCCTTAATGAATGACCATGCCCCTATGTGCTAAGGAAAAAAACAAGCAAAATACAATTGGTCATATTGTGATGTTCTACCCAGGCCATCCTACCGAATATGGAATGATTTCTCTCCTTGCCTTCCAGGGGACGGTTGCGGTCATTCAGTACTCACATCTTACAGTGGGACATTGTCTTCCAAGAACTTTCCAGGCACGTATCCAAACTCGACTTCTTGCGAGTGGCAAATTCACGGAGCAGCAGGCAGCCCCCTCAGCCTGGCATTTGGAGACATGGACATCGAAGCTTCCGAACAATGCAAATATGGCTTCTTGTTGCTTTCATCTCCCTCAGATGGTTCCAGCTTTGGTAAGGACATTCCTTCACTTCATTCCTAAAGATAATTGATTCTAATTATACTTTCCCATGGAAGCGAAAATGTAGACATCATTGTCAAGGATGAATTTGTACATCCAAGAGTTCCCTCCCCTTTCCATGCACTCCATCTCCCATGGATCACTTCCAGGAACAGTAGTCTGAACAGCCCTCTCTGTACCAGGACTGATTTCTAAAATAAAATCAGTTTCATATAGATTGATTTTTTTCTTATACTGCAGCATTATAAGAGCAAAGAGTGCCCAATGTTTATACTCTTAGTCTAACGCAAGCATGTCAAACTCGCAATGTCATGTGACGTCGCGCGATGTATTGGAGCTTTTTCGCCATTGCCGGCAATGGGGTGGGCGCGGCTCTGGTATGATGAAACCGGCACGCGGGCCGGCAGTTTGACAACCCTGGTCTAAGGCCATACTCAGCTTATGAATGGCATACCAGAAGCCATAGCTAAAGAAGGGATCTTCAAACTTGACAATTTAAAAACTTGTGGATTTCAACTCCCAGAATTCCCCAGTCAACCATGGTGACTGGGGAATTCTGGGAGATGAGGTCTACAAGTCTTAAATTTGCCAGGTTTGGAAACCCCTGATCTAAAGTAATGGTTGAAACTAGCCAAAAAAATAAATTTGTTTTCACTATATTTGAGTGGTTTAAAATGAACCAGAGTGAACAGGGCTCCAGAACCAAATGTAATGGTTTCCACTTTCTACTATCTTAGAAGTTATAACTTGGCAGCAATTTTCAAAGGTCTCTGAAAAGCTTCATGGGCTTCAAGTTATATATCTCAATAAATGGCTATAGAAAGATTGTACTTCTTTGCTACAGACTTGTTTGTCTGGTTGCCTTCCTTCCTGCATTCTTCCACAGACTGTCAACTTGAACTTCCATAGTTGGGTTCTTTGATTATTCTACTGGAAGCAGGGGAAGAGAGGTATATCAGCTCTTGAGAGAATCTGAAGTGTGTCATTTAGACCCAGCACAAAAAGATCTTGTCTTCTGGAGCACTTTGACCTTCCTAGATCTCTGTTCCTTCACTACTTCCTTGGCCTGGTGAATTTCTTCCCCTGGTTTGTCCTATATTTAGTTCTGTTCCATTCTCATCACTTCCATCACTTTCAGTTCCTACGAAAGGCTGTTCCGTGATTTTCTGGAATACAGTTCTAGGCAGACATTTCCAATATTGTTTTGTTTCCTTCCTTCTTTTCTTTTTCAACTTCTCCCCTCCACTTTTAAGACCTTTGTAGGTTCATCTAATTTGAAATCCATTAAATGTCTTCTATGAAACCCTGCAAATATTGGGGGTGCTATTTCTCAGCAGGAAGGAAACTTGAATGGATTGATACATGCATCTCCTTTTTCCTTCTCTATAACTAATTTTCCATGCAGACCATCTTTAGAAAGTTAGATTTTTCATAACGTTCTTATCTAGGACATTGCATTAAAACCATCCACTGAAGCAGCATATGTACATCTGTAAATATTTCCGTTGGAGACTTCTTTTTAACAAACATGAGTTTGGAATCTCTGGCAAGACATTTGCACCAATCCCCACTTGGATATCTTTGTACATTCCATTCTCTCCCTTCAGAGATCAATTTGTCACATGCAGTACAACCATTTGCTAATTGGTATGTGAGATTATTAGGGGAAAAACAAATTGGACTTTATTGCAAACTCTTTCCAAACCCAACAATCACATATTGCTTCACAATGCTTTACAGCCCTCTCTAAGGGGTTTACAAAGTTAGCCTATTGCCCCCAATAATCTGGGTTCTCATTTTACCGACCTCAGTAGGATGGAAGGATGAGTCAACCTTGAGCTGCTCAGAATGAAACTCCTGGAGTGAGGAGTGAGTTAGCCTGCAGTACTGCATCCTAACCACAGCATTGCCACCATGGCACAAAAGATGATCACGTGACCCAGGGACACTGCAAATGTCATAAACATGAGCCAGTTGCCAAGCGTCTATTTTGATTATATGATCATGGCGAGGCTGCAACAGTTGTAAATGTGAAAAATGATCATAAGTCCCTTTTTTTAGTGCCGTTGCAATTTTAAACGTTCACTAAACAAATTGTTGTAAGTTGAGGAATACCTGTACAGAAAGAAGGGCAGAAGTATTTCTTAAGCTTCAAGAAAGAACGTACTATTAAGAAGAGGCTCAAGCTGGCTTCTTCCTGACTTAATGAGGAATACGAGGAAGAGAAAGTAAATTACAATCAGACTTTACAATTAAGTTACTATTGATTATGTGCCATCAAGTTATTGTCAGCTCCTAGATAGATTTTCTCCATGTGATCTGTCCCCAGCCTAGTCTTCTAACAGGGCACCCATCACAAATGTAATTGAGTCCAACCACCTCAGTGCGTGTCATGTTCTTTTCTTCTATCTTTCTTACTACAGCATAATGTATCTCTTATTACAGCCTATGTCAATAAAATGTAGTTTTGGTCCTTTTGTGGAATTATTTTCTTGATCTGGCCTACCTCAGATGGCTGACAACTGTGGACTTTAAAACAGAAATCATCTCAATTCCCAAACCATCTTCTGTTCTTGAAAGTGTTTGGTATACTCAGAAATCTTTAGAGATACCCAATTGGTACCAATTATATTTAACAGAAGAATTGGGGGGTTGGGGTGGAGAATGACTCTATGAACCCAATTTCATTTTTTGTCATTTCAGTCACATTGAAATTCAATCCAGTTTAGTTTCGCTTTTGACCCCATCTGCTTTGGAGACTGTAACTCCTACACTTCTACCTAAATACCATCTTTGGGCCAACAGAAGGTTACACCCTTGATTTAATTCTTTTGGTCGTGGATTGCAACTCTTTCCAGACTCTTATGTAGTCTTTTGAGTCAATTGTGATTAGGGCTGTCTCTGTGCCTGTTAAACCACCACATGCATAAACCTCATCCTTGATATTGCAACAGGGTTTGTGATCTGGTGCTCCTGACAAAACCCAGGCATCCCATGCTAAAGTTGCCCAGTTTCCCATTGGTAGCCAACTCTCCTTTGAGTTAGCTGGACTTTCTCTCTTTTTTTAGAAATGTTTTATTGATTTTTTACAATAACAATCCTTAGTGCCTAGTGTACAGTGTGTTGTCTTGGTTCATAAATTTTGAAAACAACAACAATCAATAGTAACAACAATCAATAGTTAACAGTCAATAATAATTAATTTTTATACTTTCATAATTAGTATATTGATTAGTAGTATATTTCTTTGATCTTTTCTTCTCCCAATAGTATTCTCCTTCTTCAGTCTTAAACAAATATAATTGTTAATATTTTCAATGCATAAATGATTGAATATGAACATTATTTTCCATGTTTGTACGAATGATAATAGTGTCCATATATGACATTTTTTTTCTTATCAACTTGTGTTATTTTTGTAAAAATCATCTTATTAGTTCACCATATATCCTATTTTCATAATTCTTGTTTAAGCTTAGTTTCTCCTTAATATTCAAACAATTCTTATCAGTCATAATTTTCTCAGTATTTATCCTCTAAATAGTTAGCTGGACTTTCTCCATCAGCTCCTCTTTTGGCAGTGGGGACTTTGAATGTTGACAGCAAAAGTGTAGTGCATTTCCAGGAATGTGTGTACTAGCCCCAAAGTTTTCTCCCTCCCTCAATTGTTTGGCTCCACCAGAGGCCCTGTGACAGTTCCTGGCTCTGAAGCTGAGCCTTTTCCCGTCTCCTTCCAGCTTTCAGCAGAGCTGGGGGAAATTCTCTGGCCTGGGCATTCTGAGCAGGTCTGACCTCGGAGCCGAGAGCTGCCCTATGGCAGGGAGGGGAGAGAGGCCTTCTGGCAGCCATGAGGGAGCATTGTTTTGCTCGGTTGACGAGGAGCAGCAGGGGAAATGATGCAGCTGCCGGGAGGCAGCACAAGGATAAAGGAAGCCGGATGGACTTTATTTGTGTATTTATTGCTTTTGTATCCCATCCCAATTGCTTCAAAAAAGAATTTAATGCCACAGCATCGTAAAGAGGCTTTTGAGATGGGGGCAAAATGAGGCTTAAGAAGGATCTCATCTTGATCCCATTCACAGCCCCCCCCCGTTAGAATTGAATTGGCTAGTTGTTACTTTTGTTTCAACAGACTTGTTGCCTCCCTCCATCCCTCTCCCTTCCTTCCTTCTTTCCTTCCTTCTTCCTTCCTTCCTCCCTCCCTCCCTCCCTTCCTTTTGCTTCCTCCTTCCCTCCTTCCTCTCTCCTTCCTCTCTCCCTTCCCTCCCTCCCTTCATATTCACTGGCATCATAGAAGGCAAAGGAAAAGGCCTTGAGGGACAGGGACCAAGGCAACTATAGGATAAGCAGAGCTAGAGCCTGGGCCAAGAAAGCAATGTGAGAAAATGTCTCAGACAAACCCTTTACTGGTTGACATGAAGATAAAGTGGTGGAGGAAAAGCACATTCAAACTTGTAAGATTCTGTTACTGTGGATATTACAATAAAAATAGTCCTGATTTCTCTGGCATTGATTACTTAGACTGGTCTATCTTGCTGAAATAACCTCAGTCTTGCAAGTCTGAATGTGTTTTCCCCTCCCTCATCTTCATGTGAACCAGGGATGGGCTTGTCCGAGACCTTTTTCAGATTATTTTCTTGGCCTGGCTCAAGCCTCTCTCATCTGACTACTGCCATGGTATGCCATGCTCTTCCTCTGGACCTTCAAAGCCATTCTTATGCCATCTACGGGCATCTATTTCACCAATCATTCACTTGTCCCTGTGGTGTTTATGTACAGTTTTGTGGTTAAATTTTGCTATATTAAGAATTGGACCTGTTTCTTCTTTATGGGTCATTGTATTCTTTTGTTGTGGCCAAGGGTACAGTGAGTACTGAGAAAGGTAGCTTACCTCTTCTGCTGAAGGGATGATGCTTGAGTGGAGCCTTATCCAATGAAGACATGGCTAGACTCTAGCAGAAGCATCTTCAGATTTCCTCTCCTGTTGTTGGA